TATGGTGCCCTGAGGCTGGTGGTGGCTAGATCCCGACAGATGGTCTACCCACTGCTGCTACTACTTTTGTGACGTTGGCTCATGTCATGGGCGCCACCTCGTGGCGACCGCTGGGTGGGAGTTGGGTGTCGCCCTTCTCCCTGCTAAGATACAGGACACCAATCAGCATGAGTCAGTGAACTGACCATGTGCTAGACCCGCTGCCTATCGGGTGTACATTTAATCGAAGGTTTTGGCGGAGAATCCGATACGTCCTCCTGTCAGGTGTGGGCGCCCTGGCAGTATCCTAGTCCATCCTCTTCGGAGGTTAGGAAGTGGTCGATGGCCCTCTTCCCGTAAAACCTAGACATGGTAGACAACAGGTATACGGGTTATAAGCTCACAGCTCGATTGGCGTAGAGCACGAGCGCTACCTGAGCAAGGTAAGTTGCATGAAGAAGGTACTGGCTACCCATTCTACTTGGTGAGCAACGCCGTATCAGCACCACTTGACCATGTGGTCGGATTTGCAATAGCTAAATCGACTCCATGGCCAGTTGGTGGGTGAACAAACAGGCATCAGCGCGCGACTGAGGACGGTCCGCCTAAGACTCCGAAGAGGAAAGTTTGCCACCTTTATAAGCACGAAAGGTCCGACTTGATGACAGGAATGATCAATTCTACACTCATTCATCCTCCGTGATACGGTCTGTGCCGAGGAGCGACCGACTATTTCTGCTGGGTGATTTCAACGCGCGGGTTGTGCGAGATGCATCGGTGTGGACAGATGTTATCGGTCCGCCTGGCATTGGTTCAGAGAGTGCGAACGATGACCGGCTGCTCTCACTGTGTGCCACTCACGGCCTGACGATCACGAACACTCGATTTGCATTGAGTGCGAGTGATATATCAACTTGGACGCACCCACGGAGTGGTCACGCTCACCTGCTCGACTATGTCATCGTCCTTCAGAGTGATATGCGTGAAGTGCGCATGACACGTGTACTGCGTGGAGCTGAGTGTAGCACTGTACACAACTTCGTGCGGAGCAAACTGTACATATATTTTCCTAAATCAATAAATTACACTCCCGCCGTGAATCGGCGTAAATTTAACAATCTCCCCCTCGGTGCTGCGGAGAAACGTATTTAGCTGGGGAAGGCGATGGCTTCACGCCTGTGTGATGTGGACTGCATGGCCATAATGGGCGGGCCGTGGCACAAGGTTCGCGACCAGGTGACAGTTGCTGCCGAGGAGACCATCGGGCGCAAACTGTAAGCGGCCTGATTGGTTTGATGACAACAATGTGACGATTGGCGCATTGGTGTCAGAGAAGAATGCAGCATTTGCTGCACATGTGGCAGACCCCAGTGACTTGGGGAAGAGTAGTCAGTTTCGCAAACTTCGACGGCGACTGACCCGAGAGCTCTGTCGCATTAAAAATGCATGGTGGACGGAGAAGGCGAAGCAGATGGAATGCTACGCCGAACGCCGCCAACACAAGGAATTCTTTGACTCCCCTAAGGCGGTGTATGGACCGAGATTGGAGCCGCTGAGGACACTGATCGATGGTAGTTCAGGCGCTACCTGCACACAGACTGCAGACAATGCAGATCTGGCGGAAACACTTTGACTGTCTCTTGAACAACCGTTCAGAGATCGACTGGCCTACATTGAACGACCTGAAGCAGCACGATGTGAAGGCGGATCTGGCGGATACGCCGAGACTGGATGAGACGCAGAGAGCACTTGCTCAGCTGCGAAACGACAAGTGTGCTGGGGCCGACGGGATCCCGCCTGAAGTACTGAAACACGGCGGACCCGCGTTGTTGACTGCGTTGCACCACTTGGTGCAACGCGTGTGGACTAAGGAGGAGGTGCCTCCTGAGCTGAAGGATGCCCTTGTGCTACCACTCTACAAGGGCAAAGCGAGCAGGCAATGTGCCACGAATTATCGTCGCATTAACTCGCTGAGTTTTGTGGACTAGGTTATTGTCTGAATCATCCTCAACCGCCTCGTCATTCAGGTTGTGGAACCTAACGTGGCGGAAGAGCAGTGTGGATTCAATTCGGGTCGCAGCACTATAGATATGGTGTTTGCGGCTCGTCAGTTGCAGGAGAAATGTAGAGAACGACACCAGCCGTTGAAGTCGCTTTTTGTTGATTTCACCAAAACATTTGATACGGTGAATCGCGAGTCATCGCGGCTAGTGTCGGGTAAGTTTGATAGTCCGAGTAAGTTTGCATGTTTGATTGAATTTCTGAAGAGTGAAATACGGGTCAGGGTACAGTTGAGTGGAGAAACCTCGGACGACTTCGGAGTTGTCACTGGTGTAAAGAAAGACTATGTCATGCTCCTGTCCTGTTTGATTTTATCCTTATGCCATGATGTCTTGTGCTTTTGATGCTGTTTGTCCTTAAGTTGTTCATGTGGACCACCGTATTGATGGTGGGTTGCTGAACATCCGTAGTTTCGGTGCGAGAACTCTAGTCTGTGAGATAACTATCCATAGGTTGTTGCCTGCTGACGACTGTGCGTTGTTTTCACACAGCGCGGATGAGCTGCAGCACATGACTAGTGTTCTGGCTTCGACAGCGGCCAAATTCGGGTCCACCATCAACCCAAGTAAAATTGCCTGTTGCTTTCAGCCTTCATCGGAGATGCAATCTGAAATGATGTCGCAAATCAGGATTGGTGACGAATTATTGGAAACCATGTCATGCTTCTGCTACCTTGGGAGTGTGATGTCGACTGACCAGCAGCTACACGTTGAACTGCGTATTCACGTGTCGAAGGCAGCGGCGGCATTCGGGAAGCCTGAGTACCGAGTGTGGAACAACCATCAGCTTAGCATTGGTACAAAGCTGATGGTGTACAAATCCATGGTGCTATCCGTTTTTCTATACGGTAGCTAAAAGTGAACGATCTACCGGCGAGATGTGAGATATCTCGGGATGTTTTATCGACAGTGTGTGCGACGGATTCTGCGCATCCGTTGGTGCGACAGAGTTTCGGACACGGTGTTGCGCCGAAGTGGAATGTATACAGTGGTTTGCATGCTTTTGTTGAGACACTTGAGGTGGCTCGGTCACGTGGATACCGAAACAGCTGCTGTATGGTCGAATGAGTTCAGCGAAGCGGCATGTGGAAAAACCGAGCTTACTTTGTTAGGACATGATCAAAGTGAGCCCAACCCGTTCTGATGTTGATTGCAGGTCGTGGGAATCAAAGGCGCTTGATCGGCGTGCATGGCGCGACCTAATCACAATGGCAGTTGCCGAGCAGCAAGAGAAAACCTTCGTGCATGCGGAGAAGAAACGGCGAGTACGGAAGCGACAGGCGGTGATGAGTTGTACTGCATCGACATCGAACGCATGGTGCTGTAGCACCTGCGGTCGAGAGTGCTTGTGTCAGACAGGCCTAGTGGGCCATGAGCGAGGCCCCGTGGGACCAGCATCGAAACGACGCTGTGTCCTGCTGAGGACGTAGGCAGAAGCGTCGCAACCTTGGTAGGTACGCTGCATTCAATTTACTAACCACGTGCTTTGTTGCTGCCTTTCTTTATTTCGGGTGATTGGTTCGCTATATTTTGTTAATGCTTCCTTTTGTCAAATCATTTTGATGTCTGTCTGAGTACGCTTCTTTTTATTTACACAAGTCGTTGCTAACCAACTTACTTCATATTCTAATTTAGCGAAGAGTTATGCCATAGTATCTGTTTGCATTATTGGATTTATTTTATTTCATCTTGTCGTTTTAAGTGATTGGCTGTTGCTTGATATCACCGGTGCAGCTGCGCTTGATGTGCATGTTGACAAGGTGCCTACCTGTCTATTACCCACTACCTCGTTCATAACGGCTCTAGGAGACAGTTGGTCGTTGCTGAAGGGGACAGGGTGCACGGTCCTTGAAGCCGTGTTTGGTTCAAATAGAGGTTCTATGCACTCAGTGTGGAGCGGACCACCGTCCAGCCACCGCCTTGTGTTCGCTTGCTTCCCCAAATACAGTGTTCGTGTTAGCCTGTGAAGGAGTGTGGGCCGGCTGCGTTGATGAAACGTGGCTCCCATCCACATGCCTCCCGGTCTTATTCCTTCGGGTTTACACTGTATATGGGGTGTGTGGATGGAGCCGTGGGCGGTGCAGCGCAAGCCATCTATGGTCTCTCGGTAGGCACAGATGTCCTGTGGTTGTCCTATGGTGGTCATAGTGACAGGCAAATTTTGTAACCGGATGCCGCCAACCATGAGGTCTCCACTATGACGAACTCCCCGTAAACTACCCGAACGTTGGCCAATCAGGCAGATAGGTGACCAAGCATACCGCCCCCATTGGTCTTATCCAGCGAACTAGTTAGCTAAGATGGAGCACATTAAAAATAGAGCTGAAGTGTTTTTAGTGTTAAATAAATCATGATCCTACTCGTAGTCTACTTAGAGTTTACCTTACTTATCCTGTATACAGGTACCATTGGTACCTGAGAAAGAATAATAAAACAATGTGCATCTATGTATTGATAAATCCACTTTACATGCACCTGCATGACAATGTCCAGTATTCTTTGGTTCTCTCTGAGTCCACCAAATGAATGAATCCGAAGCAAGCATTTGCCATTAATTTACTCTTAGAATAAACTTTGCCAAGATGTAAGTAGCCCCCATTTTCATGTGAATGACGCCTTAGGTCCCATACAAATACAGCATTCTGACACTTTAAAACAATTCGGCAGCAGTGGCAGTCGGGTCGATCAGAAATCAAATCCATAACAACACTTGGCCAGCCGATGAAAATATGCACTACAATTTGCATATGCATAACCAATATTTTTTGCGTTTCTCGTAGCCTGGTTTTTGGTATAGATTGTGATTGGTAAGCTCAGGTAAACCCACAGGTTAGTTTCTAAATGACTGGTCATTTCGTGCAGCAGGACCTTATCTGGGACAGTTTAACTTTAGATTTTGCCCGCTGTAGACGTCATATCATTAGGTATCACCCGCTCTCTATACTTGCCCCATTGTTTCAGATTATTCCAAATGAAGAACGGTGAAATTGTGTGGAAAAAGTACCAGCAGATGTTGAAACTTTTGCAAGAGTGAGTACTACTTCTACGCACTTCAGAAACCAGACACTATTTAGACAAAAAAGGACATTTTGCTTGCATTATTCCGACTCATCTGTCCACTGTGTTTTAACACTACTGTGTGTTGAGTTATTGGTGTAGAGAAAAAGAGAACCGAATGTTCTAGCCTTGTCACGTCAACTGCATATACTTTGGAGGTAAGAGAGTGTTACCAATATCTCGACGATTCCATTTCATTAAAAACCCAGAGAGTATGGATTTTTCGACAGCACGAAAGGCAGTCCTGCGAACCTACTTTGATCAATATGTGCAAAGTTCGTTTACAACAGTTAATACAAACAGGTTGCACTTCATGGGCTAGCAAGTACAGTTTCGTTTAATCGAATCTATCAACATGTATCGGGCGGTAGAGATAAATATCTCATCAAAACTCAGTAACGAATCGCTGTTCCGGGTGTCGTGAATAAGAATAAAAAGAAAATTGATTGTAGCTCGCACGGTGCAGATATAATCAAACATTAATGAAAGAAAAGTGGGGTTGAAAAAGAAGTGTAGAACTGCAGTTATGGGGCTGGAGTCTCACATCATGTTTGGCCTTGCTCACGGTTTCCTGACATGACCGATAGTGTTTCCAGTCATCTGAGCTTGTGATCTTTGCGCCCCCAAGGAGAGAGTCGAGGGCTCCCGACTGCGGCCAAACCTGAGGTCAGTCCCTCCATACTTTTAGCCAAAGTCATTCACTGATCATCTTGTCCTCGCTTCCAATCGACTTCTGTGCGCGCAGTGCACGGTGAGGCGAACGTTTAGTAGGCATGCGAAGCACGTGCCCACACCACCGAAGCCGATGCAGTGAACTTATGCGGTTCAGCGGCCGTTAAAATCTATACTGTTTGAAAATACTTCTATGAACAGATGGAAATTGGGTGTTGCCCACGCGAAAACACTGCTCTTCTATGAATATCTTCCTTACTAATGTGATGTTGCCACCGTAAGCCGCCAATGCTCCGAAGGTAGCGGTGATCAAAGACATACAGCCTCAGAATATCCTTTACGCGAACATGCCAAACCTCACAACGGTAGAGCAGGACCGTGTATATATATATATATATATATATATATATATATATATATATATACAAAGGTCTACAAATAAACATAATGCCATCAGAAACCATGGGATTCAAGCGAAGTTACAGAAATAGGGAAAGAAAACACAACACGACAATGACCATAGTTTCGTCAGAGGGCGAGATACTACCCGGTTGCTCAAGCCGAAGTAGGGTGTTGACTTAGGGGACACCACTCCGAGCCTTTGGTTGAATAGCCTGTCCGCAAGGCAGCGGAGCGAATTCAGGGAATCGCGCCCATTGGGAGCCGGTGACTGATTGCTCAGTTCATACGCCTTTCATTTGTTCCTTTGTCAAACAGGGGCCCAATGCTCCCCAGAAGTACGGCATGACGTTGCTGGAATACAATGCTTCGCCAGGATGAAGCAAGGGGCAGTGACTTTATTTAGTGGCGAGTCACGTCCGCCACGTCACAGTGTTGTTAAATGGACTTATGTGGCTTTTTATAGGGGGAATGCTTGCCTGGCGAAAACCCACCACGTGCTGGAACACTGCTGCCAAACCATTTGCTGGAACGGGAAAATCCCGAACAACCCAGCTGGTACCACGAGGAGGTTGTTCGGCAAGCCAGAACCGCTCTCACCGTGGCATTGTAGACACGACCCTTCAAGAACAGACTCAGATTGCGTCGACGCCAGAGATGGCGGAGATTATCAAACCCAGCCCGGGCCTTAGAGACTGGAGAAGACCTAGTCCGTTAAAAGGTTAGCACTCGGCCTAATTAGTTTATTGTGTAGAAAACCTATTTCTACACAATATATGATCGGACTAATGGAAACTATCTCGACAACTTCTTCCTAGAGCTACGTCCAAATCATCATGGATAAATAGTAGACGGTGTACAGGTAATTTGGGATGGGTGGTTGTAACAAGAGCAGAAAGAATTCGTATCACAAACCTCGTAGGCTGACAGTGTTTGCCAGAGCTTCCGGCCTGTTACTTCTGTCCTAGTCCAGTTAAGTGGCACTTAAGCTGGTGCCCGGTGTTTGACACGCGACAGGTAAATTTGGTCAGCATTTAATATCAGGATAAAGTGTTTATGAAGCCAATTGCAGTTAAGTTCCACTTATGTGGATGATAGACGGTACAAAGAATGCACTATGCATGGCAACCGGTGGTCAACCACGCTGCTATCGAACACATGTTTTGTGGGTGTCGAATCCGATGTTGACGGAGCGCATACGCTCGGTGCCTCATCTTTCAATTGGGTTTGCAACTCGGATAACTATGGTGTGCCTGCTGTTTCGCGTCTAAGTTTAGTAGCACACCAAGTTGTCCCTTTGATTAACGGCTCCATGAAGATGGTAATTACAAATGGGAAACACTAGATTCATAGTGGTCCTGAAGGCCTTCCACTCTTATAATTGTTTCACAAAAAAACTCTCTGCGACCCACTTACTTCCTGCATGTACTTTTAGTACCTCTGTTCCCCTTGATTTTATATTAATGTGGTGTGTGTTAATGGTATATAGACCGCCTTAGAAAAGCTGGCGGTCTCGCAGTATCATTACGTGCAAGTCGCATACGATATCGGACGTTTTGATGAAGTTGTTGGGGAAGTAACTTATGCCACCTATGCTTCGTCCATAGTCACAAGCGTCTGGTAGCTGTTCAAGGTCGCAGTGACGGGCCAATCTGGAAACGAATGCCACTGATCAATCATTTAAAAGGCGATTTAACTCTTCTGCCAGTTTCTTCCTCATCGCGACCTGGAGGATGTGCTCCTGACAGGCCACAAGCTAACGAATTCCTCTCTCAGTGCCCGCATTTTCCCAGATAAACCATGGATAGAAAGGCAGAAATGGAAATCCGACCCAGTCGCGTCACGACATGACGCGGCGAAGAAAGTAGTGCTGGTCCACGGTGTTCCAGAACTTAACCATGGCGATATAAATGAACATCAGAAGCGCGATATAGAAGAGTGGAGGTACATAACGGAGCTCTACAACATGCAAAATATCGTGACTTTCGATGTCACCCGTCTAGCGGCCTCCTTAAACTATCAGGGTAACTGGCCAAAAATTTTGAAAGTCACCGTGGCTACACCTGAGATGGTATCAACGGTCGTCCAAGCGTGGCACGACAACAGAAAACGTGGGCCACCTGAAGTACGTTTGAGACCGTTCCTAAACAAAGTACGGGCCACAGATACAGACGAACCGGACTCGGTTGTTCCTAAATCAGGTCAGACAAATGTGCAACCGCCTGTGACAAAAAACGTACGCAGACCGGCACAAGCTGTGCCGGTCAACCACAACGAATCGAGCTCCTAATGTGTCAACAGATACAGTGCTGCTACACAAACGCTCAGGGGCTCAACTCTAAGCTACCTGAATTGCGCCATCGACATAACACAATCAATTGGGATATCATAGCTGTAACTGAAACCTGGCTCTCCAATGACATGCTCGACACGGAAATCGAAATCAGTGATATGTCAGTTATTCGCAATGCTCGTCCATCTCGCGGTGGCGGAGTTGCTCTGTACTATCGGAATTGTCTGAGATGTGAGGCTATTAACGAACGTCACCTTGCTGTCTCCGACGCTTTGTTTTGCCGAATGCAGCTAAATGGCCGAGGTGGTGAACCTTCGAAGAAGACGTGGGATGCTTGTCTGTTGGCAGTTTTCTACAGGCCACCGAACTCCACCGCAGAAAGAGATGACATTCTGTTAAACGCGCTTCATTATGCAGTTTCTCAAAAATACTCACATTGTCTAATCATGGGCGATTTTAATGTACCCTCAATTGTCTCAGCGACTTCCAGTGGTCCTTACTTCAAATCAAAGATTCTCGAGTTTATGGATACAGCAGCTCTGTACAACCACGTGCACCGACCAACTAGACACCGCGGTTCAAATAAGCCATCGCTTCTAGATTTACTCCTAACCAACGAAGAGTTGATGATTGAGACAATTGCATACGATCCACCATTAGGCAACAGTGACCACTCAGTGTTGAATTTTGCCTATGTGTGTTACGCCAATACTACTGAAATCAGACATGAAAACCGACGAACTATAACCAACTATTCCGTGCTTCACAGCCTAGCGACAACCGTCAACTGGGACCTCAATCTACAGAGCACGGCAGACGACGCGTGGAACGAACTAAAAGACAAAATTGGCTGTGTCACGCTAGCAGCCTCAAAAGTCATACCATTACGAGTGCAGCGCCGGACCAACATCTGGATGCGAAGCAGAACGCGTAAATGGATTAGCACCAGAGACGAGATCTGAAGACAATACGCGCTGAACAATTGCGACGCCACCTAGGAGAATTACAAAATAGTGAGGAACTATTGCACATCACTGGTTAGAGCAAATAAGTACGAATGGCAAAAAAACATGGTACTTAAATTCACGAACAATACAAAACTGCTGTACAGATACGTGAACAGCAGAAGAAAAGTTAAAACAAGAATACCACCCCTCAAGACGGATGGTGGTCTAACGACTACTGCTGTGGATGCTGCGAACGCATTACTTCTGCAGTTTGGCACAGTGACTGCAAACGCCATAGAACCTTTGCCAAACCAGCATTCACCCAACGTGGTCGGCATATCAACTGTCACTTTTACCTCAGCAGCTGTCGCTAGCAAATTACGGTCTCTAAGAGAAAATAACGCTCCGGGAGTCGACAGGATCAGATGCAAAGTTCTTAAAACTCTTGCTCCCACCATAGCAACTTTTTCCAAAGTCTACTCAATTCCCAAACACTTCCGTCTGAGTGGAAAAGAGGGATAGTCACTCCGATATACAAAGGAGGCAAGCGATCGGATCCTGCCAACTACCGACCCATTACTCTCCTCCCTGTTTTATCAAAAGTAATGGAATCGTTAGTTGCAGAGTTGAGAGTCTGAAGCTAATTTCTCACCTCCAACACGGCTTTAGGCGCAAACGATCTTGCCTCACAAATCTGCTTCTTGCTCGGGATTCATGGACCAAAGCGCTTGATGAAGGATCCCCCTTGATGTGATGTACCTAGACTTTTCGAAAGCATTCGACAGTCAATCACTTAGCTGTGCTTCATAAGCTTCGTGCCTACGGTATCCATGGTTCTCTACTCACCTGGCTAGCAGCATATTTGCATGACAGAACGATCACGGTCAGAGTCGCCGATGCCCACTCGGAAACCCTCTGCATCTCCAGCGGTGTTCCTCAAGGATCCGTCCTTGGTCCCCTCCTTTTTCTGGTCTACATTAACGACCTCCCGGATAATATTCAATCCTCGATGCAAATTTTTGCAGATGACGCAAAAATCTGGAGAGTTATTCGATCAACATCAGACTGTGCCCTCCTCCAGAATGATTTGGATCGAATCAACAAATGGGCAGATATAAACCACCTCCCCTTGAATCCTGCCAAGTGTCACCTACTGTCATTGCGCAGCAATCTTGCCAACACCTACCTCTTGTGGCAGTACATTTTACGGCGCGTGATCACAGAAAAAGACTTAGGTATCATTGTGCAAGAAAGTCTGGGGAATTCGCTCCAATGTTCCAAAGCAGCGAACGTGGCGAACATGAACCTGAGACTTTTGAGGCGAGCTTTTGGTGTTTTTGAACGACGGATGGTGCCCATGCTTGTCAACTCCTATATCCGTCCCCACGTCGAATATGCAGTCCAGGCTTGGTGCCCATGGTTAAAACGGGACATCCATCTCTTAGAGCAGCCCCAACGAAGAGCTACGAAGGCAACACGCGGATTATCTGGTCTCAATTATGAAGTGCGTCCCAGTTTAATCAGAATGTTTTCCTCCGAATACCGACGACTACGCGGAGATCTCATTCTCGCATACCGGATATTAACGGAAAGCGATCACCCGTGCAAATCGCTGCTCACCCTAGCCTCATATAAGCGATCGAGAGGTCATAACCTCAAGTTGATAATCCAACACTCCCGATTAGACTGTAGAAAATATTTTTACTCTCTTAGAATCTGTTCACAATGGAATGACTTGCCAACGCATGTGGCAAACGCTCCGAACATTACAGCCTTCCAACAATTGTTAGACATTCATCTGAGTGACAAACAACACATTGTGGTGTGATGTACTAGGTTTAGACTATTGGCATTTCAGTTCCATGTCGGAATCTAATGATTTTTATTTATTTTGCATTTACCATCCTATGGGTCTTGTAAAGCCAATGCTATTTATCCCATCATACACTATTGAACTATTGAACTCTTGTATTATCATCTAGTTACCAAGCGCATTAAGCTTAATTCAACTAACTTGCACATTGTGGTAACCAGTGCATGATGATACTCGTAACGAAAAACCCTCTAGTCCGACCAAGTAAGAACAGCCGTTCTTTGGTAAGGCTCTTTAACGACGAATATCCGTGCAGTGTCTTCAATGCTCATCCAGTGTAGATTCAATCCACAAGGTCTCATGGGTCCCCTTAACGAATGTACGTCTTGTTCCCACCACAGTTATTTCCATGTTGCATCCTCAACATAGAACCTTTGCAAACTGGGCGGTACCAACTTCACTGATTCTACTACACTTGCAAGTAAGGAGACTAGAACACGAGCAGGGCATGTCATCAGAGCATAATAGAGCTATTGGCTATGAGTCTCTTCCTAGTAAACCCAGTTTTGTAACAACAGACTGTGTACAGAAGGTGCAAACTCACGAGGTCTGTAATCCCTCTAATGGTCGATCATAGTTCAGTGTCAGCCGAAAGCCGTAGCTACATGTTTCCGGTGTATTACGATGAGTGTATCATGCATCCGGTCGAGGGTACCGAGAGCTTTCATGCGTTGTGATAGACCGAGGGGGGCTGAAAAGCAAAACAGATGCTTCCCAGGCGGTTGGATAGTTTCATCACAACCACCTAATAAGAGTCGGAGCTGTATTTACACCACGCGGTGAGGTGGACGGCACTGTCAAAGGCGCCGTTGGAGAACTGAGCCTGGGTTAAAGGATGAATAGCGTGAATACGCAAGACAGCTGACTGCTATAACGATAATGAAGACGAAATTGGTAGGGCAACAGAAGAGATGATAATAATGTTCTAGTTCAGGCTAGACGAAATATTGCTGCTGGCTCGCTACAAAGATACTAGGACGCACTGCAAGAAGAGGTTCTTTATTGTGTAGTCGTACATTCGGTGGACCTCCGAAATGAATGAACTTACTTTCAACAGTGGTAGAAAATGAACAAGCCACCACAGGTAGTACGCATTGGTAGCTGCGCAAGTATGTAGACTGTATAGTAAGGCCGATGTGCGACAATAAGTACTGGCTCAAACTAGCGAGAAGGAGTCATTTGCTCACTTTCCAACTGTTCCTCCGTTAGCTTCTCGAACGAATTCGCAATTTGAAATACAACTAGGAGGAATAAGATAGCAACAGTAACGCTTCTTAGCAAATGGTCAGTGACGTGCCATATATTCGCCGACCCAGCATGCAGAGAGTGAGCTCGACCGTACACCGAAAACGAAGACGAACTTGGAGCCGTTGTTTACTAATTACTTGATTGCGTAGTCCGAAAATTGTCTGTCCCAAAATAGGGCAGGATTTTATTCGCCGAGCTGAGTAGACATTGTACTTGTTACGGTATCTACGGTTTTACCTGCCTATTGCGGGAGCATAGGCTCTGTCAGCCTTCTACGGTGACCCACTTACCCAGTCATAAGCATTTCGTACTAGACGAAAGTCAAGTTTGCGTCCATCTAGCTTGATATTTTTGTTAAATGTTGTCACGTTTCCCTTACCGCTGTGGTGTGTGGTCTTACAGCTACCAATCGCATCTATTTGAAGAATGGACCAGTGGAGTGGATGCGACTTGCACTGTCAACTTGTCACATCCTCTACTGGTGCGTGCACCACAGTCTAATATGCTCCGGATCAACTTCGATCCTGAGGTAAGTCTGGGGAACTATTCATGTGTTTATCCTAACTCGGCCGCAGATCTTGATGCTACGCATACGGTATGTGTAAAGCAGATCCTTCAAGCATTTTACTGCAAGTTTTGTCAAGCCAACCATCAACCACTGTAACATAATCACAAACTGTGACGATGCGTTTACAGAGACAGATAAGTAGGAACAGCCTGTTATTCTCAAACCTTGGCTACTTCAGGTAAGGTTGTATCCCAATAGGAGTCAAAACTAATGTTATTTTATCAACGGTAATTTGAAGTTGGCTTATCGCTCTTCCGGCGTTTAGTTTTGAACAAACTCATATAGTCTGATGGTTAGGAATCAAAGGATTGTGGGTTGAGCGATCTCAACAAATTGTCGTAGTATAAAAAGAAATGTTAGTTTCTCGTCTGTTGCCGTGGCACACCACCCATAGCAAGAGTGGTTAGCTCGGAAACCGTTGTTCACCGTAGCAAACAACCATTGAGATTCTTATTCAGGCACTTCATTTAAAATCACCTGGGTGATTGTGTTTTTTTGGGTTATGTCAACTGTATAAGAGGATACTGTTCGCCTCAAATGGTTGTCTTGGTATCTTCTAAAGGCTTAATCTGCCACATGCCACGGAAGGGACAAATCTAAACCTTTAAATTTGCATGTGTTGACTGTAGCCACGTTGCGGATCCTAGACAAATTACTTCGTAGAAAACTGAGAAAGAAAACTGATCATCAGTAAAATTAAGCTTTGGGCAGTGGACAGGAAAATAAATATCCAGCTGTTGTGTTTCTATCATACGAATAACATACATTAGACAACTTGCGAATATTTGTAAGTAGTAGGGGGCTTTATTGGGTTTTTGTTTGGACTGGTCGCCGTTAGAATCAGGCAGACATCCATCACACATCCAGGAAAGCACTAAACGGCAGGTTCGTCTTATTGGGACTCGGAAGTAGTGCGCACCCGCCGAATCCTTCAGGATTCGAACCCAAGACCTTACTCTTAGGAGCCAGTAGCGTAAGCCACTGAGCCTTGGGTGACAGCAGCGCACAGCCATGACTGATATCTAACTGCGATATAGCGCTGCTCATCCTCCACTGTCATGAATGTTATGAGCGTGCAGAGTGCAGGGTTGGCCCCTAGAGCCAAGACTTCTTTTGCAAAGTGTCACCAATCGACGTATCAGGTAAACTGTTAAGGCGACTACTGCTTGCTTGCAAGTTGAAGGGAATTTAAGTCCAGCCCATTTGACTTTGTAACTACAACACTCGCCTGGCCGATATGCCCCGCCATCCAAGATGGTAAATTACGCATCAACCAACCTACCGGGTCAGGTAGCAACACCAAGTTAGATGGCAGAAATGCGGATCCGAAAAGCCTTCAAGCAATGGTCATTTACGGGTTAGGAGAGTATCATTGATTTGTTATCATAGTTTTGGCTTGCTCGCATTGTTTGGAATGGTATCATCCAAAGTGTATAAAGTTTTTCCAGCAACAGTTACGAGAGCGAAATAGGTTCCAGGAGGTCCTTTGGTCCTGTTCTACTTGCCGACCATCCCACTCCTTAAGTGTATGCTTATCCTAGTCCAGAAGTGTGACCAGTTAAGCGCAGTAGTCGAGCAGCGGATGAACGCTAAGATCACTTCAGTGAAAACGAGTATGCACCAAGGAAGCGTTGTAGTCTCTAAGCTCCGGCATGCTGCACAACTTAGTTCCCCTGAACCGCAATCAGCTAGGTCCCCATCTCCGTTGTATTCTCCAATTTTGGTAGAACTCCGGGCCAAAACTGACCGTAGCTACAAAAATCAAGCAGTACTTGTGATAATGAAAATCAGACATCACTCGAAACGTCTAGCTAAGCAAAATCCACGAAACCTGAAACCTATCATTAATAAAGGATGCAAAAGCCGAACACCAACCCACGGCGCCTATAACTCGAATGTCTCTTGTCGAGACAATGCCCCTGGGATATCAGTTACATATGCAGAGATTGTTGCGAAGGTCAGCTGGGAGGCCGCTGTTGCGGTCTCTTCCGCGGTAAACAGAGCTAACGCAAATAGAGAGAAGAACAATGAACAATCAGTACTCGTCAGCACGTCAGGACAAACGATTTCGCTTCCTTGTAGATCAACGAAAAGGGACTTTACAATAGGGCCCCCGACTGTTGTGTGCTCAAATGTCCCCGAATCTACCGCCATCACATTGCGTGATAAGTTATCGGACGACCAAGGCCAATGGAACTCACTGTGCATGCTGACGATTGTCAAAGCCAAACCCAAAAACAGGTTACGGATTACTCGTCAAGCGAACACTGCACAGTACGGAGAACTCAGGCTTATTGGAGTAACACTCGTATCCTCCAATGATGTAGAATACGTTTTTCTCTGCAAGCGCGCTAAGACGCGGATCCTGTGGGATACATATCTATCCCGATGTCCCTTGGCGCGCTCGACAGTCTAACATCAACACCGAAGTAGGACACAGAATTTAAGATCGCCTACACACAATCTTCATAGATGATGTGCCAGAGCTTCCTTTCAGCTATTTTCAGGAAGCCGGAAAGTACGATATAGAACAGTGGCGGTTCATTCAGGTAACACTTTTCTTGGATAATGTTGTGGAGCTATTGCTTGACAGGCTACACCTCTCACGTGATTGTAGAGGCTGAGACGCTAGAATCCCAAGACATGTGGTTCAGTCGGAGCAGACAGCAAGAAAGGTTTTGGATCGATGGCGGATAAATCGGAAAAGCCTTCCTGCTGAACTTCAGTTAAAGGACACAGCAACCTTGCAACGTTCAGATATCAAAGCATCTGAAGCAGCAAACATACAGACGAGGATAAAGGCGCTCTACCTGACTGCTGCTTTACTCGACTCTGACATAGGTCTAAATGAACTTTGGGACCCACCTTGGCCGGATCAAGTTCCAGTCGAGATATCCTTATCCCATCAAAAAGGTGTAACCGCCAACGTCTTATCGGCCGGCATGCTTACACACTGGACCCCTTTAGCCCTCTGTGGGCTCCTTGAGACCTAGAACCTAGCCTGCTTGTATACGAATGCCCAGGGTATATTCACTAAATTGGCGAAACTAAAAGATCGTCAAGTTTCCGCATCATATGATATCATGGGTATCACTGAGAGGTGGCTACATACTGGCATGACGAACACTGAGGTTGCCGTACCAGGCATGTCGCTTATGCGAGACGATAAACTCACAAAACAAGGGGGGTAATTCTGTATTACCGAAATGACTTGCAGTGCTAGGCCATGGAGGAATCCGTCTGGCCATTCCGCGATTCTCTTTGTAACCTCCTGCAATTAAATGACGGAGAGGCTTGCCTTGTCGCCTAGGTGTACCACCCCCATTACTCTACGCGCTAAAACAAATGCCACCTTGCGGCTGATTTAAGACGCATACTAGAAGTAAGATACACTCACATCCTCATCATGAGGGATTGCAATGTGCGTTGTTCAGAAACCACTATCAGAACCGGAGAGCATTTCAAAGCCGGGCTTCAGGAACTCATAATCACTGTTCTGCTATACAATCAAGGCACTTTGCCCACTCAGTTCATAACTGGTAACAGGCCATCTCTACTGGACCTTGTGCTTACCGATGAAGAGCATATGATTGATGTGTTAGTTGCAGACTGTTCTTTGGGTCGTAGTGATCACGTAGTCATTGGTTAAACTTCAGCCGCTATGCGGAATATCAGAATGAGAATTATAAGACTATGCGAGCCATCGATTAGTCTTGCACGTCAGCGACACAACCTGGGGGTTCTTCGCCGATGCACCGCCGGAAGTCGCCTGGCTTGAGTTCGTCAACAAATTCAATCAGCTGATAGAAGAGGCATCAGACACAAGAGACTGGAAGAAATCAAAATCAGTTTCTTTCGTCAGGATTAGAACTCGAAAATGGGTGGCAATAAGCAACGAAGTGCAGCGGGTGTATAGAGCAGCTCCAACTCCAGAAAATTGGGAAAAATAAGTAGCGTAATGCATCCACTGCATTCAACTGCTCAGAGAAGACAAGATTGCAAAGCAGCGGAACATTTCAAAAACCTTCAGTGCTAGCCAAAAGCAGGTGTACAAACATGTGAATGGTCTACGAAAGGTGAGACAAGGTATTCTTTTTATTCAGGACGGCTGATGGCTCAACAAGAACTGCTAGGGAAGCAGCAAACGCTCTGCGGATGCAATACGCTCCAACGTTTCAGAATCTTGCATTAAGGGATGTTCTACCTTTTGTCATCCCGCCGCCAGGACGCACCCGCATCTTTTCCCGCTGCAACTGTATGGCAGAAACTGACGACACTGCGAAACCACAGCTTCCCGGGTCTCAATACCACTCGTCCAGTGGCATTGGGAGCAGCAGCAAAACCACCAGCAGGATCTTCAGCTCAGTTTTTCTTGCGCTGTTTAGACTAGGACCAGGTTCCTTCTATATAGAAGCTTGTAATAATAACTCCGATTAATAAAGGCGGAAGCAAAACTCAGTCTTTAAACTATCACCATCTCCTATCCCTATACTCGCCAAGGGCAGGGAACTAATTTTTGCCGATACACTGACGTCTTATCTGGAACAATGTACTGTCATCACGCCTGAGCAGCATGGCTTCCGTCGATCGCGATCGTGTACGACGCCTACACTAATCGCACACAGCAGTAGAACCGAGTCAGCTGACGCTGGCGAAAGTGCTGATGTGATCTACCTGGATTTTTCGAAGGCATTCGATCGTCTAGACCATCGGATACTATTCTCCAAGCTCCCATGTTGAAGGATCAGTGACCCTCATCTAAACTGGATCTCCAACTTTCTCCTTCAACGGCAATTAGTGATCAGAGTTCGGAGATCATTATCGGAACTCATACAAGTCGAGTGGGATGTGCTGCAATGCTCGGTTCTAGGTCCAAGATTAATTTGGTGTTTAATAACGTGCTCGCACAAGCAATCGCTTCAAGCTTCCTACTGTCTGCCAATGAAATCAAGATTTGGCGC